TGAGACGAGGATTCTTTATTATAAACATATTGCTTACGATTTGTAAGATAGCTTTTTAACCAATTGAGGGTGTTATCTTTTATTCCATACGATAATAATTTTTTTATTAGAATTTGATGGTTGACGGTATCAAAAGCTTCAGATAAGTCAATAAATACTCCTAATGTGAAATGAGATTTTTTAAAAGATTCTGAGATGTCGCGCGTAAGTTGGAGAATAGCGTGTTCTGTTGAATTGTTTTTTTTAAAACCAAATTGGTTTTCGTATAAGATTTTATTATTAATTAGATGGTCGTAAATTCGATTGAACATTATTTTTTCTAGTATTTTTGAAAAGACTGAAAGAACTGAAATAGGGCGATAATTATTTGTGTTTGTATGATCTCCTGTCTTGAAGACAGGAAATACTTTAGCTATTTTTAGACAGTCTGGAAACATTCCTTGACTGATGGATGCTCTAAAGATTTTAAAAATAATGTGTTTATAACATCACAAAAGTCTATTATAATATTCAAATTAATATCATCATACCCAGTAGTTTTATTTCTTTTTAATAAACTAAAGACAATTTCAAATTCATCATAAGTTAGCTCAGTAAAGTGAAAACTTGATGAAGCTGATGTTTGGAATTCAGCTGATTTATCGTCGGTATACGGAATACTGTTTGCTAGTTTACAATTACTAAATTAGAAATTCTTATGTTATTTTTCTATAAGTATTTAATAACAATTAATTTTCTATAATTTTGAGAATTATTATTTAACTTTAATTTATGATTTAGCAAACTTTATTAGGAGAATGGGATTTTTTAAGTTTGGAATTTTAATTTTATGAGCATTTGGGAATACGGACTCCACAGGGCTAGTTTACACCCTGCAGTTTAAGATCATTTAAATTAATTTCATCTTAACGTATTATAACGTGTAGTAAATCTATTACCGCTAAGTTTTTTTTACATGAAAAATTTTGAAAAGTATGTCCTAATAATCTATAAAACCCTGCTAAAAAATTAAAAAGTCTCTGTTTTTTAAACAATTAAAAGATTATAGATAAATATGTATAATTATTTTAAAATTCTATAAGGATAGGTTATTTGTAAATCTCATCAATGTGGAACAAACTACCAGATTTTATCATCAAAAGTGAAAGCTTAAACTTATTCAAAAATCGCATTGATAAATATCTAGAGCTACATGATTTGTAATTTATAATTTAATTTATTTACCTAGAATAATTACACTATGTATATGCTGTCGAAGTAACATTAATTACCATTAATTTTACTTGTAGTTTTTGAACTACTTCAGCCTTCTATTATATTATATTATATTTATTGTCACAGAGGTATTTCCAGTATTTACATGTTTTCACACACTATTTAACAACTTTTTGACTTTGCATCCTAAAGTGTTTAAAAAATTGATCAAGTGTATTACAAAATAAACATTAATTGCCATTAACATATGCAGGTTAATTGCAAATGATTAAAAAAGTCAATATGCGACCTTTCGTTTGATCTTTTTGCTAAATTCTGTCTCACTGTGGAATGTAAAGGGAAGAGGGGATTGGGGAAGGAAAGGGGATGGGGGAAGGAAAGGGGGTGGGGGAAGGGTTGTGCCATATTTATAATAACGTCTCTAAATTAATATATTATCATACTATTTTATGAGCAGGTAATTCGAAAATTTTAGTTAAAAATTAAAACTCGTGGGTGATGTGGTCTGATGTTTTTTAAAAACATACACTCTAATTTTTTCTTTATTCTGATTTACTGCCAACAAGGCTGCAAGCAACCACTATTAAGTTAAGAGAAAAGTAAGAGAGTTGAAGAAAAAGGAAACAGTTGATGAAAGACTTAAAAAGTTGAAGGTTGTACGAGTCAGGAAAACATAAAGATAGGAGAGACTTCCAAAGGGATGAAGTGTGGGGAAAAAAAACTAAACAAATAAAAGTTTTTAGAGTGTGCAAGGGCAGATACAGTAAAAAGATGAAACTTTGCTGAATGGCAAGTCAAGCGAGAATAAGTTTTAGTTGATTGAAATAGAGATGATAGCTTGTTTAAACAGTGACCATAATAGTACTTGTAGAAAATAAAAAGTGATGCAACTTTACAACAACGTGAGAGAGTCTCAAGTTTGGCAGATAGAGTGAGTCCAAATAGTTTACAACGCATTTTTAGAACGTGTCTAGAAGAGAAAGAGCATCATCAGAAAAATCAGTCTAAATATAAAAACAGTATACTTTACAGGGGCGAAAAAGAAATTTATAGATGTAGAGAATGGAATCAGGAGTAAGAAAATGTGAAGCATGATAAATAGAAACAATCTTTGCATATGGTAGTTTAGCAATTGATTGTCTATATGTTTTCAATGAGAGATAATTAGTAAGCCACAATTTAAGATGTAAAGAAGAGAACTCACTATTGCAGTAAATAACTGAGTTTTGTTGGAGTTAAAATTCAAACGCTACTGCAAGCCCAAACCTGTAAAATAATTGAGATCAGACTCAAGATAGGCTACCTGTTTTAAACAATTGAAAAAACTTTTTGTCAAGACAAGAGTATAAAGTTGAGTCATCAGCAAATAGAGCCACTCTATATGTAAAGTCATTAATGTAGATAAGAAAAAAACAGGACCAAGGATAGAACCTTGAGGTACATATGAAGTTTCTAAAAATGGAGAGTTGGCCTTCAAGAATGACTTTAATATTGCAATTAGAAAAAAATTGTTTAATCTAAAAAAACTTTCCCAGATACACCATACGAAGCAAGCTTATGGAGAGACCAGTTTGTCGAACTTTGTCAAAAGCTTTAGATGTATCAAGAGCAATAGCCCTAGCCTCTTTGCTTCTACTTAATGCACAAAAAAATCTTATAACCACATTAGTTAGCAAGTGATCTATAGCCCTGAGGGAATCAAAGCTTTATTGATAGTTTGACAGTAAGTTATTTGACTCAAGCTGGGATGTTAAAAATTTGTTAATGGTTGTTGACTCAAAGACCTTGCTAATAGCAGATAGAAGATTGATCGGGTGATAGTTGGAGGGGTCAAAATGATCTACAGAGTTTTTGAAAACTGAAACCATAGGGTGTCATTTTCTAGCAGATAGAAAAGCAAGATTCAGTTAAGCACTTATTTAATAGTTTAGAGAAAATTAAAGAGAGTTTATTAGAACACTTTTTCAAGACTATGAAAAGAATAATGTTTGAACCACAAACCTTAAAAGAGTTTAACAGATATGCAACTGAGCAACAGAAGCTGGAGCGATTTTAATGTCTAACAATGGGTTAACCTGTTTAATTGGAAGGTAGAAAGAGTACAGCTATTAGATTCAAGAGTTGAATTAGAAGAAAAGTTCTTTGTGAATAGTTTTGCCTTATCCTTGGGAGAAGTAATAAGTTTAGTCCCATGAATGAGAGATGGAATGTTAGACCAACCTTTGTTAATGAAGCTGTTGAAGACTATCCAAATGCCTCTTGAGCCTAACTTCTGAGAGATTTCTTGCAATAATAGGTGTTAGTTTAGAGAGTTGTTCGTTTTGAAAAGATGAAAAAAATGATTATGATTAGATATAACAGCTGCACAAGAAGGTGAAAATCATGAAGAATGATGTTTCCATTCCTGCCTGGATTCAGGAGGTTACTTAGGAGGCGCTTTTATCAGCAGAGAGAAAAATGATATCAGTCAAAGGACCATCACAAAGAGATATATTTATAGAGGTCATTGTATGGTTTGAAACGCCTAAGGAAGAACAAGGAGAAACTAAATACAAGCTAAGGTCAGGGACAAAAATAAAATTATTATCTGAGAAATGCAGAAGTTTTAAGCTTTAGTGCCAACAGGGTTAGTGGCATTAGAGTCATGCCATTCAGTGTAATGAGCTTTAAAATCACCAATAACAACAATGTTGGCAGGGGGATAAAGTGAACAGGCATGGTCAATTTAATCATAAACTAAAAGAGGGCATTTTTGAAAAGAAGGAGAACTATAAAGAGCAAAGTAAAAGGTGGTTGAAAAAATTTGTGAAGAGGTGCTAAGCGAAAGCACATAAAAAAATGGTCTCAAATGGTGAATTGTTGCATAAGTATGCGCCTAAGCCAAGCATGTGATAAGTAGAGTTTTTGCAAAATAAAGGATACCCATCAATACTGAGATCAAAAAGGAACAGCTGAATTTAAATCAGTCTCACAAAGAGCAAGCAAGTCTGGTTAATGTTTTGAGCTAAGACTCAACTGATTGAAAGTTACTTCCCAGACCATGCATATTTGTGAATGATATATTGAAACAGTTAGGTGGTAAGAGAACTTTACTCATTCATAGATTTAACTTTACTCATTCATAGATTTATAGATTTTAAACTCTATAGATCATAGATTTTAATTCAAACTTTAAAAATTTTTGTCTTAAGTATTAACTCTTTTATTTATTTTCAACTCATTTATGTAATTATTTGTAATTATTATAACAAATTCATATATTTTAATTTGATTAGTTTTTAAGAAATATGTGTAACATAAATTATTTATATTAAAAGATTTAAATCTAATTGTATATATATCTTACAAGTATCATTTACTCTTGGCAACTTAAGAGCCTGATTTCAGCCGTCAGCTGGATTAAGGTTTAGGCATCGCCGGATTTTGGTCTTTCTAGTATGTCTAGTTTTACATAAAATTGACTTAACATCTAAAACAATCTTTTTATGAAGTATATTGATACTTGAAATATAAATAACTTTACCCTAAGTGATAATATTTAATGTTTAATACTTTTAAACTGGATGCTAACACCACATTTACAATATAAAGTAGTCATAATTAATAATTAATTAATAATTTAAAACAACTCAAAATTTTAAAAGAATTCAGTCACTTTACCCAAGCTTTTTATTTTTAATTAATAATTTAAAACTTATGAAAATTATGATTTTTTCTGAAAGAAAAGCACCATATTTACATTATATTATATTATACTAATACTTTAAAAATATATATTTTTTTAGGTGAAAAAAGAGTCTGCTTTGACTGAACCAGCATGGAAAAATGTTGGGACCAAACCTGGTACTGAGATTTTTAGGATCAACAAATTTAAGGTAAAACTGTTGGCTTTTTTAATCACATAAAAATATCTTTTTTAATTTTTGTTTGTTTGTAATTTTTAATATGTTATAATTAAATTTTTAATATCTTATAATTAAATTATAACTCCTCCTAATAAATTTTTCATAACTCCTCCTCCTCATAAATTTTGTTTATTATTGGCTGTTAGTTGCCTAATAATATTAATAATCTTACTAGGTTGAAAAATGGCCTAAAGAAGATTACGGAAAGTTTTTTTCTGGTGATTCATATGTCATTCTTAATACTTACAAAGAAAAAAATAATGAGGTTAATTTAATTTTTTTAAATTTTTTATTTTATTTTTTTTTTTTATACTGTTATGTTGTTCTTCTTTTCATAGAACACTTGTCTATTTTAAACTAAAAGCTTGACATACAAATAAAACAGGTACAAATTGTTAAAGGCAAACAAAAAATATTTATATTAAACCATTAAGTATAATTGCATATCAAAATATTATTTATGTGACATGTATTATGGCAATTTTTAAGTTCTAATTTGTAGCACACAAAATGTTGTGTGATAGCAGATGACATAATGTTTAACACCCTAACCAACTGAACTTTTTAGTTACAATTGAAAAGTAAAAACTTCATCAGAATTTGTATCAACTAATACTTTTGTTGAACTTATATATTTGGTCATTTTTTTATTATCAAAATAATGTTGTATATTTTTATAACTGTGTATAAGAGACCACTTTTTGCTACTTATAAGTTAACATTGGGCTGCACAATATTTATTTGAGCAGGATAATATAACAATAATATATTAATAGGTTTTATGTAAACATTGTTTACAACATTCACTATGAATTTTTGATCAAATATAAAATACTCTTAACTCTTTTTTGAATTCTCAACTCTAGTGTATAGACTCAACAATTTTGGTAAGAAACACTAGGATCTCAACAATTAATCTTGGTATTTTTCTTTTTTTTTTTGAATTATTTTAAAGACAGCTTCTTCCAAACAAAAAAATGTTTTTTTTTGTTAGATAAATTACGTTTATTATCTCACAAAAGAAAGTTATTTTTATTCATTTTTAATTAGTGTAGTAAAACGAGTTCTTAAAATTGTTTGTAAGGCTTTTGTAAGATTACAACACTAATGTTGTTTGAAGCTGCAAAAGAGTTCAAATCAGATAATCCTAACTTGAATTTCTAATTTCTAACAATCAATTATTCTATATTCCTGGGATGCAGAAGAGGGTGGTTATTAGATTAAAATGATGAATATTAGGTTTAATAATCTGAGAAAAATAGAGTTGAGTATCAGAAAGCGCCTTTTTACATTGACTTCTTGAAATTATGATAAGCTGTTTTTTATCAAGAAAGTTGTTCTGGTCAAATAGATGAAAGAAAATAAGATATGAAATAAAATAATTACATTTAGAAATAGCAGCTGCACCTAGTAAAGAAAATACCACAAAGTAGTAGGACAGGAAATGGGCTGTAGCAATTACATCGTTCCAGTAGCAGGCTTATCTTGATAATCCTAAACTTGACCTGATATAGTTTAAAGAAGTTAGTTCTGTTAACAGTTTCCAATAATAAACAAGTTGTAGTTAACAAGTCTTACAGAGGTTGCTACTTCAGAGGTTCAAATAAAACACAAAAATATAAAACTATATGTTAGTTTTTCTATTATGATAGATTTTGATCATGATTTTGCATGAATGCAAAATAGAAAATAAAAATAAAATTTTTCTAATCATGAAAATAAATAGGAATTGCATGAATTACTTAGTTTTTATTATTTAATTACCATTACAATAGCAAGCTGTTTTTGTTTGATTCATAAAACAAAGACATAGGGTCAAGCTTTTAAAAAACTTATGAGAGATAAACAACGGATAATTTTAGTTAATTGTTAATTTTTATATTTAAGGAACTTTTGTACGATGTTCATTTTTGGATTGGCAAGTATTCTACACAGGACGAATATGCAACAGCAGCATATAAAACTGTTGAGCTTGATACCTATCTTGATGATAAACCTGTGCAACATCGTGAAGTTCAGGGTCATGAATCGGCATTATTTAAATCATATTTTAGTAAGTCTCATTTGTTAAATAATTTTTTAAAGTTTATTTTAAATTTATTTAAGACTGGTATATAGATTTGGACACAAATCGCCATTTATTTTTAACTACTAGTGAAGAGTTGTCCAAATCACAAAAGTGTGGAACCATAGTCAACAAATAAATTTAAATAAGTAAAAAAAGCAAAAGACGAGTTCAAAACTTTAAATTACATTTTTTCACTTCAAGGCCACTACAGTTGAGCAGGCTGTTATTTTTTTTTTAGCTTGTTTTTTATTTTAGTTTTCTTTTAGTACAGTATAAATCCCTTTCTCGACCTTCGAAACTTCGAAAACAGAGAACTACTTCTGGAAAATAAGTTGATTGTTTTGTCTGTAAAATCTAAACTTTGAACTATTATACCTTAGACTTCTTCACGATAATGAAAGGGGGATGTGATAGTGGATTCAAACGTGTCACTCCAGAAAGTTACAAAACACGTCTTTTTCATATTGTTGGCGAGCGTAAGAAAATTAGTGTTACTGAGATTCCATGCAAAAGAGGTAATCTCAACAGTGAAGATGTTTTCCTTATTGACACTGGTCTTCGCATATATCAGGTAAGTTTAAAATAAACTAAAATATTTTTTTGTAATTTATCATTTGAAAACATAATATTTTTTTCTATTATATAACTAGATTTTGATTCACTATAAAATGTTCCAATAATTATTATTAAATACTTGTAAGCAATCTTACAAATAAGGAAATAATGACTAGTTTAAGACATTTAAAATATTTTTTTCTGACATTTTGCAATACTAAAAAGTTGTATTATGATTCATTTGGAAATATAAATCAATGATAATTAATAAAATTAAATATATGCTAAACAAAAATAACTAAAAAAATGCGGAAGTATAAAGTTTAATTTTTATTTAATCAGAGAAAAGCTGAGTGGAGGCAAAAAAATAATTTAAGGACAAGATATTCCAAAAGTGTATTCAACTGTTTGTAAAACTCTAATTTTTAAGTTACTGTTAAAAAAATAAAGTAAGTAAAAACATAGCAAAAAAGACTGACATTGTATAAAAGCATGCAACTTTTAAAAATCGAAATGCAACAAAATATGTTCTCAAAAAGAGCAGTTACTTAAAATACAAGTTAAGAAAGCACATCGAGGTATTACCAATCAGTGTACAGGTTTAATCGCAACCTCTGTCAAAAACATTTTGTTGTTTATAAAAAAAACATACATGTTTATTCCAAAAGGTGAAGGTGTAGCACTTACAACTATGTTTTTAATAGGATTACCAGAATTCAATTTTTCAATTTATAACAATATATTATAGAAATATTAATACGCCATTATAGCTATGGTTTTATAAAAAAAGCGGAATGCAGTATTTGCTATTTTAATAAGCAAGGCTATTTTAATGCAGTATTTGCATTAAAATAGCCTTCGAATTGATTGTTTCTAAAATAATCATTATCTATCTTGTTTTTGAAATTATTTGTTTCTTGATTTCCTGTTTGGGAACTTCGTTTATTCCAATTGTTTACAATTATGTTGATAAAAAAGGGTTTATGCAATTGATAATTTCAAATCTCTTGTAGATTTTATATTGATAGATTAATTTTATTTGTCACCCCTTGCTCTTTGTGTTTCTAAAGAAATAATTTCCAAATCTTTTTAGCCAGTCTTCATTGCTGTAATTTCTTAACTCATTAATAATTTTTGTCACTTTTCTTTGTATGCTTTCTACAGTTTTAATGTCACCTTTTAAGTACAGACACCAGACAGACATTGCATATTCAAATTGAGGTCTTACTAAAGATAAATACATTTGTCTCATTACAATTCTGTTATTACTTTTAAAGGTTTTCCTTATTAATTCTAAAAAATGGTTTGCTTTATAAGTTACAGTTACGATATGTTACTTCCATTTAAGGTCTTTTGTGAACAATACGCTCAAGTCTTTTTTCTTTTTAGTTGTTTATATTTTATGTTTATCTAGTTTGGAGCTATATTTTTGGTTATTTTGATCAAAATGCATTACATTACATTTATCCTCATTGAAATCCTGTTGTAAATTTAAATGGTCTGTTTCATTAGAAACAGCAGCTTATATCTTTGTGTCGTCTGCAAACAGTTTGCAGTGACATGTAGTATTGTCCAATATATCATTAATGTATAGAATAAATAGTATGGGCCCCAGCACCAAGCCTTTAGGTACCTGTATCCAATTTGATGTAAATTCTCCTAACGTGACTCTTTGTTTTCTATTGTTGAGAAAAGCACAAATCCATTTTATTAATTGATTATCTGTCCCATATTTACCTAATTTATAAATATTTTTTTTTATGGGAAACCTTATCAAATGCTTTGGCAAAATTAAAGTAAATAATATCTACCAGTATCCTTAGATTTAGATAGTTTGTAAGAAAATTGTAAGTTTCCAACAAGTTAGTTGTACAAATTTTTGAAGGAACAAATCCATGCTGGTTCAGATTCATTACTTTGTTGCTATTTAAGTAAAATGTTATGATACCTTTAATCAAGTTTTCCATTAACTTGCACAATAAATGTTAAAGACACAGATTGCTATTTTGCAGCTCCATTTTTTTTTCCTTTTTGGATAATTGGACAACATTTGCCAATAGCCATTTATTTTGCAAAGTAGAGAAAATAAATGATTTGATAAACAACATAGAGAAGAGTGCTAAAATATTTTATACCAAATTTTTCAATACTGACGAATGAATGGAATCATAACCCAGAGATTCATTATGATTTATTGATGCAACTTTTTTAAGAATGTTTTTATAGGAGAATATGGTATACGGATCGAAAATTTGTTTTGTGTTTGTCCTTTTCTACTAACTATATGCGGTAGTATAACTACTAACTTTATGCGGTAGTGGTGTAGTGGTAAAACACTCGCTTCATAAGCGAGAGGTTCCGAGTTCGATCCCCACCACGTTCCTGGTAGTACCGCGCTCAACTTGTCCGCGCAGCGGCCTTGTTCGTCAAGGTTCGTGTTTCAGAGTTATAGATTTCTTCGATTTGAGGTTAATTTGTTCTGATTATTTTTCAATATTTTTACAAAATCTTGTGGCTTATATTTATTGTTTACATAAGAATAGAATAATTTTGGATTATTTTTGCAATTGAATGCTATTTCTTTTTTAAACTCTATCACCGCTCCTTTAATTTCTTTTGATGTACGTTTTTGTAAATTTTTATAATTATAGAAATCTCAATTTTTTTGCCACTGGCTATATATTTTGAATTTTGATTTTTTTTTGAATTTTTTTCTTTTATTAATCGTTTGACTTTGCTATTAAACCATGGTTCATGAATACGTCCTAGTATCTTTTTTTTTCCGAATATATTTCAAGCAATTATCATTGTATTTTCTTAAGAAAAATTTAAAATATTCGGTAACCTTACATTTTAAAAACAAGCTACTCCACTTAATAACATCAATAAACTTGTTAAAGGAATTATTATCTCCTCTTGAATAATTATATTTTTTATTATCAAAAACTCTAAAATATTTATTAATATAGTAATACCCTAATAATATAAGATGACCTTGCTTTGTTTTTCCTAAATGAGGTGTCATATATATATCTAAAATTTTAGTTTTGTCATTAGTTATAAGTAAATCCAGAATGTTTGCTTCATTTTTAGAGCTCTGATAAAATGTTGTTTGTCAATAAACTGGTGAAGAAAGCAATCATTAATATTTTTTATAAACTCTTTTGCGGAATAATCATGTCTTTCTAGCCAAATTGCCCCATTTAAATATTTAATATTAGAATAATTAAAATCTCTTGCTAATAAAATGTTTTTACTATTTAAGAACATTTCATTAGCATTATAAATAATTTAATTAGTTTTACAATTTATGATTACATCAGAATTAGGTGTGGTGATAAATGCATCCAATGAAAATTTTTACTTCATCAATTTTTAAACTGCGCTTTAAAATTGAAGTAAAAATTTTTGTATCGCTTAATAAGAATTCTTCTATTTCATAGGCAATTAAATTAGTTTTGATATGAATAGCCACTCCGTCTCCTCTACTTTTTCTGTATTTTCTAAATATTTGGTCGTTATCTATTGTAGTTATAGAAGTTTCTATAAACCAAATGTCAATTTTTTCTGACATTATGCAAGCTTCAAATTTATACCTTTTGTTGTCCAAAGAGCGAGCGTTGGTGTACATAAAATTCAACTTACTTGATTTGTCATTTAAATGTGGTGAATAAATTTATATATGAGTTGGATGTAGCAGTATATACTTGACCTACCTCCAATCATAGATTCAACTTTGGTCTTGCATGGTAATGGTCTTGATCTTAACAACTTCGTTATTTCTTATTCCAAATCTAAAATCAACTACTTATTTTTTGAAATCATCATTTCGTTTATTTCTCTATTAAGGCTTTAGTTAGTGCTCTCTCGCTAAGTGTCATGTTTGGACCAATGAATATGTTAATGCAAATGTTAAGTCTGGACCAGTAAATAATCCTGTAAATTTAGAATTTCCTAAGTTTTTACATTTTTTCCTCCTTTGAGCAAAGTTCTATCGAAATTTGTGTACTCTTATTTGCATCTGAGTTTTTTTATATTAAATAGATATTCAGCACAATTTAACAAAAAAAAAAATTATTGTTTTACATTAAATTAACAATAAATAGTAAATAAAATTTTAACATTCGATTTTTTTAAATTTTTTCAGTTTAATGGTGAAACAGCAAATAAAGATGAGAAGTTTAGAGCAACTCAGTATGTTCAGCAACTTAAAGCTGAAAGAATGGGAAAACCACGTCTTGATATATTAGATGAGAAAAACATTAGTCCAAGTCATCCTATATATAAATTATTACCATCTGGAAAAAGCAAAGAGGTTATTTGATTTATGTATTTACTTTAAAAAAATTTTAATATTAGGTACTAAAAATTATTTTTTTCTACATTTTTTCTAAGTTGATTGATTTTGTTTAGAAAGAAAGCAATAATGAAAATGAAATTGGTATATACCGAGTTTCGGATGCTTCTGGAAGACTTGAAATGAAGCTCATCTCAAATACATTAGACAGAAATACACTTGACAGCAATGATGTATTTATTTGCAGCGCTAAAAATGCTTGCTTTGTGTGGATTGGAGCAGGTATGCCTTAATGTTTTATATTTTTATTTTGATACTGTTTGGTATCAAAAGAAAGCTATATTAAAATATAACTTTATGCTTTAGGTGCTTCTATTGAAGAGAGACAAAATGCTATGTCATATGTTCACGAGTTTTTGAAAGACCAGCCGAATCCTTTTGTACCAGTTACTTGTCTTAGTGAAGGACAAAAATCGGAGGAATTTGAACATATTTTTAAATGAAATTACTATTATTATATATTTATTTTTAGGTATCATCTGTGAACTCATGAGTGCTTTTTTAGGTTTTAATGTTTGCATAAATTAGATTTTTTAAACCAAAATTTTCAAAATGTTTTTTATTTGTTTAGTTTAAAAAAAGTTTGACTATGTTTTTTACAGTTTTAGGCTAATTTTTCAGTTTTTAGTAAAAAAAAAAACAACGTAACAGAACAGTAAGTTTGTCACTATTTTTATTCTTACTTTTTTTTCACTGTATTGCGTTATAGTCTTGTCATCATTTGTAAAATTATATTTCCTCTAGAAAAAATATATATATATTTATATGTGTATATTTCTAGCAATAATAATTTTGCTTATCATAAAGTAGTACTTGATTTATTAATAATTTAGAGTAAAACAGGGTAAAATGACTAGCGGGTAGAATGAAATAGTTATGACAATTTTTATTATTTCGCTCTAACTTAATTATTGGATAATCTTTTTACAAATATTTTTAAATCACGTTGTAGAGAATACTTTTGTGAGTAAGATGATATCAACTCACAGTGTAGAGAATACTTTTGTGAGTAAGATAATATCAACTCACAGTGTAGAGAATACTTTTGTGAGTAAGATGATATCAACTCACAGTGTAGAGAATAGTTTTGTGAGTAAGATAATATCAACTCACAGTTTAGAGAATACTTTTGTGAATAAGATGATATCAAATTTTATTTTTGATCAAAAAAAATTTGTTATAAATTTTTAAGTTTTTGTAAGCGTAATTAGATTTTTTTTATTATTATGAAAAATGAACCTAAAACTCTCGGAAATTAAATTTGATATTATTGAACCTAAAAAGTTAACTGGTATAACTTTTTACGCTGATCAAGAATCTTTTTTCAAAATTAAACTTACTATTTAGGAAAAAAATTGAGTAAAAAACGAAAAAGGAGAGTTATAAGGGTTGAATGAAATACACTAATAGTAAGTGAAGCAATAGTTCGTTTCTTAAATATGGTTTTTTTTTATATTAAATCTCAAACGACCAATAAATCTCTAACTCTAAATTTTTTGCACTGAAAAAATTTTTTTAAGGAAATTTTTCTGAATTTAAATGAATGACTTTTACTGACTGCTTTTATTAAAAAATTTTAATGAATGAATAAAATACGCAAGTTACTCTCTAAATGCGGTTTTTATTAATTAATTAAGTCTCAAATGACCAAGCTACCTCTATAAATTTTGTGCATAAATTTCAAATGGATTATTGTTAAATCTACTTTAATATAAAATATGTCCCGAAAAAACTTGCATGCAAAGAAAAAAAAACTATACACCGAAAAGCTGCGCCTGCGGTGGTTTAAGTAGAAAACGGTGAATTTTCACTTAACAAATCAGCTAAATCATTCAGCATACCAGTAGCAACTCTTCACAGGCGTGTTCACGCCATAGGCGAAACAATTGGCAGTGGTTCAAGCACGAGATTTTCAAAACAACCTAAATCAGTTTTGGTAGATACGCTCATCAAATTATCCAATTGGGGCTTTGATAGAACTTACAATAACGTCATCACACTAGTTACCGACTATTTGCAACACCAAGGTCAACCTCATTTGTTTCCTAATTGTACAACAGGAAGAGATTGTTATAACCTTTTCATAAATCGGTTGAGTCATAGGTTGAGCATCCTAGCCATAGGCAATGTTTCATCACTCAGAGCCGCTTCTTGCACGCAAAAAACAGTAGCAAAGTATTTCAACACATTGCAAAGAAAATTCAACGTAACAGGTATTTAGGAAACACTATAGGTCAATCTTGATGAAATTGGCCTGATCAAAGTAAGCAAAATATTGTTTGTCGGCGTGGCGCAAAATGACCATTGGAATTGGTTGGCAACAATGAAAAAATCCATTATACAGTTGGAAATTGCATTAATGCTTCTGGTAATCGTCTTGTTCCATACATTATTTGTAAATCAAAAAAAACATATGCACAGAGATTGGTGTTTAAGTGGCCCAAATGATGTCATATACGCTACATCTCCGTCCGAATGGATAAAAGATAAGCAATTTGTACAGTGGCTCGTGTATGTTCGCGCCATAAAGAAAGTTCCAGGTAATTAGTTCGATCTAATTTAAGTTATCTAAATATATTTATCTAATTTTGCATTCACATAAAATTACATCAATCTAATTATAGTTATCTAATTTTATTATAGGTATTCGTACTTTTTTCGTAGTTAGACATGTGACACATGTCACTTATCTGGTCGTACAGTATTGGACAAAATAATTTGCAACCAACATTGAACAATGCTAAAAAGTATTCCTAATCTTACATGTCTTAAAAACGAAACGAACTATACTACCACAACAAATAGTTCAGGAGTCTGGAATCATAGCATGCCATGACATGAGCAATCAGCTGACAGGTGACAGCACACAGGCAGAATTTCGTTCACAAGTGCCATTTTGCAGCGGATAAAGCAAGTGCAACTTTTTTTGTTTGTTTCATTTTAAGTCTGGTCCGTGTCAACGTCACGGAGGCTTTTTAATAATTAAAGGAAATATTCAGAAGTTTTCAAAAGCATGCAGAAGCTTCCAGAAGTTTTCAGAAGAAGCATCTGGAAGCATCCAGAAGTATCCAGAAACATTCAGAAGCATCCAGACGCATCCAGAAGTTTCCAGGAGCATCGAAAAGAAGCATCTAGAGTCTTCCAGAACAGGTTCATTTTACTATATAAGAGACATGTAAACCGACATGTAATTCAGTCAGTATATGGAAGTCAATCAGTCAGTATTATCAAGACAGTTTATCGAAGTGAGTTTTATCAAAGTGTTTTATCGAAGAACATAATACAATAAGTGAAATACAACAAGTGTTTCATTACATTAATACAGTCTAGATCCAACCAAGACGTTGTGTTCCATAGAGCGTTATTGTATCATCAAAAGGTAAATGTAACACGGTAATCCTTGAGAAGCGTGATTATTAATTTTTATTATTTTTACGACTTCAAGTGCAAAAATGGCTCCCGACAGTCTTGGATTGGAACTAAGAAAGAAAATTATTGGCAATTACGTAAGTGGAATGTCACAAAAAAGTATTTGTGATAAATATCGCGTGAAAAAATGGACCGTATCAAGACTATGTTCCAAATATACGGGGAAGTTGGCAGCAGATAACAAAGGTGGAAGACCGCGTTCCACCACTTCTGGAGAGGATTCTAAGATTGTCAGATCCGTCAAGAAGGATCCCTGGATATCATCAGTCGAGATACAAAGGCAATTAGAGCTGCCTGTATCGGACCGAACAATCAGACGACGTGCTGTTGAAGCCGGATTGTTTTCTCGATGCCCTGCAAAGAAACCGCTGATTTCGCTAAAGAACCAGAAGAAAAGACTCCTGTTTGCTACATCTCATATTGACTGGAATGCGCAGAAATGGCGAACTGTCCTGTTCAGTAATGAATTGAAGTTTAACATCATTGGGCGCGATGGCATTTGCCGTGTACGTCGACCGGCCGGAAAACGCCTCGATTTATGTTACTGCCATAAGACCGTGAAGCATGGTGGAGGCAATGTAGTAGTTTGGGGTTGTTTTTCTGCTAACGGTCCAATACATCGAATTTATGGAATAATGGACCGTTTCATGTATAAAAATATCCTGAAAGATGTTATGTTACCTCATGCTGAATGGAATATCCCAATAAAATGGGTTTTTCAGCAAGACAACGATCCAAAACACTGCACACACACTGCAAAAGTAGTCATGCAGTGGTTTCAAGACAACCACCTATCGGTTATGGATTGGCCGCCTCAATCTCTGGACCTCAACCCTATCGAGAACCTGTGTGAGATCGTCAACCACAGAATTATTCGTAAAGGTGTTCGTAATAAGGATCAACTGTTTGAACAAATCCAAAAGGCCTGGGCAGCGATTCCACAAAGTATCATTGATCACCTGATCGAATTTATGTCTCGAAGATGCAAGGCTGTGATTCGCCACGAAATATTGATAGCGAAATACAGCTTGGTCAACATTTTGTGAAGTTGCACTTGTTTTGTCCAGAAGGAAATCAACTTTTTTTAATACTTTTGATTAATTAATTTTCGTGTAGAAATAATGAACTTTGTGATGAATAAAACTTGAAGAACATTGTTTCTAAACAGTTACATAGTTATTTCTCTAAAGTGAAAAAATGCAGCACTTTTATATAAAGAAAATAAATTAGCTTTATTTGGTTGCACTTGTTTAGTCCGATACTGTACTTACTTGCATTAAAAGCAACATCTTGTTAGTATGCTTACCAGCTCACAAGTCGCATATTCTGCAGCCATTAGATGTCAGTGTTTATTGCTCATGCCAAAAGAGTTTGGAGCAATTACTTTAACAGTTTTATGGAGAGATAAAGTTCAGCAAATTATTAAAAGAATGTTTTAGTTACCTGCAAAAAAATTTTTTCAGCTCTTGTGAAGTTTTTACACGAGCCCAAATAGTCACTCGGTTTCAAAATACTGGCTTGTTTCCACTTGACATCAATAAAATTGATCAGTCAAAGTTATAAATTGCTAATACATTTAAAACGCCGTCATCTAAACCTGAGCTTTCATCATCTCAACAACCAGAATCTATGATAGTACCATCACCAATACTAGCACCAGAAACTACACTACTTCAGTCACTGCCCTCTGAATCTACGCCAACACCCAGCATCAGCATATGTCACATAGCATTAGCTTCAATTCACCTCAAAAGTCACTCTGTCTGTGCAAACAACCTTCAATACTGTAGTAACTCCGGATTTTCAAAAGAAAATTTAAAAAGAGGTTGAAAAAAAACTGCAATCAGCCCAATCACTTGCAGCAGCTTTGCAACAAATGTTTCGTATCCAACATGTTGACACAAAAAAAAGAAAACATGTAAATGTGCCAATATTCTAAGGGGAGTGTCTCAACAAACCTGAAACACTTGAAAGGTTGAAAGATGCTGAGAGCAAAAAAGCAGCAAAGTAAGCTAAAAAACAACGTAAGCTTAATTCTAATGGCAAACAGCAAATAAACCAAACAACAAGTCAATCGAAAATATTAGCTGTAAAACCGATTTAAGTGTAAAAAGTGCCGAAAAGTTTTAGGCAAAGCTTAAAACTTTTCGAACAGCAAGTCAAAATATGGAATAGTGCCAGTGTGAAAAATTCAAAAAATAATACGTAAAAGGCACTGAGTTGTATAGCGCCAAAAAGTGCCGCACAACTGAAAACTCAACTCAACCTCTGGTACCTCTAAACAGCTCAACATCATAATAAGAATAAAAATGTTTATTTCATTTAATGATTTTTT